AGGGGGGGGATTTTGAGGAGATGAGGGAAACGGTGGAGTTTGATTTGGGTTGGCGGAATAAGTTGCAGTTTGGGGGGAGGTTGCCGGAGAATATGCAGGATTTTTGGTGGATGGGGACGGCGGGGTGGTTTGATAATGTGCCGGTTGTGAAGGCTATTGTGCCGGCCAAGGAGGAGGAGGCTGGTGATCTGAGTAGTGATCATGCGGATGGGGCTAAGGTGGTGTCGTTGGTGAGTGGTGGGTGGAAGGGGGTCAAAGGGGAGTAACCTTGGGATGAGTTTTTTGGCTTTTGTTCGAAGTTTCTTTCAATGATAGATAATCTAGTTGTCTCTTTACCACCAATAACGTTATGACCAATGTGCATTAAGTGTACAGGTTTATGTGCGGTGTCCTGGACCGTCTTGCTCCTTCCTTGATACTACCGCTCCTTCCTCGATACATCAGCCAGCCGCTCCGGAAGGTGCATCTGAACACATACCTTCCAACAGAGAATATACCGGAAAGACTTTTCCGTTTAATGCAACACATGACTTGATCCCATCCTCAGTTTTCTGTTCGACATCGAGACCTTGACTCGACAGTTCCTCTGGCTGTACTGGTGTCGCGGTGAGCCCCTGACCCCATGCACCTGGCTCTCAACCACGGCAGTCTTCACGATGGCCACCGAAGAAGGCGCGGAGACATACAAAATTCAGGTGACACCCCTTCAGCCAAGGTCTTCCAATCTTCGTACATATTCACGCAAGAAGTCAATCAGCAAGCTGCCGTCACTCAAGCCATCCCAGAAACAGTATCCTGTCAAGCCACCGCAACAAACTCAGCTAAATCTTCGAGTGACGAAGACACCGAGTAACGTTTCGAAGGCGGCTGAGCCAAGACCCTCGAATCGCATCGAGGTTGTCATTCCGGATACAGAGAGTGCTAGTTTCGATCCTCATGACTACGATGACGCCTATGTTGGTGAGGAAGAGGATGAAGTCGTGGATGACGACGTGGGCGGCAATGAAGTCGCGGAGAACTATGAAGTGGTATATGCAAGCGAAGGTGATGGTGAGAATCTGAACACAACAAGAAGAGAGTGTACGTGTGGTATTCCTGACAGGAACATGTAAGCCTGCTAACGTCCAAAATAGCCAACACAGTCTTCCTCCCGCCCGGCGCAGGGGAAGACGTGTATAATATACCAGATGACTTACCAGAAGACTTGCCGCCTGTCGTACCCAATAACAGTGATCGCCAGAAGAAGTCCAACGGCAGTGAACGCCAGAAGGACCCGGTCCAGGTTGTAATGCCATCAACAACACCACACTTCACGCAACAGATGAGACGCGGCCGACCGCCCGGCAATGGTCCTCGACGCCCTCACCTAATCTTCAACAAGCTCCCTTCGAGAAACCGCTTCAAAAAGCTCCCGCAGAAATCCGGACGACAGACCTCGGCTCTCCGCTCCAACCCAGGCGACGGCTTCTCAGACGATGAAATCAAACGCTCTGGCCTCGTACTCCGTCGCAGTGCGAAGCAAAACACATCAATCACACGCGTGGCTGACACTGATATCCCCCGCAGACCACCACTTCCCAGGCTCAAGCAGGACAAGAGAAGGGCAGACTCGGAGGACAGTGTTTTCGAGATCAGACCAAGAAAGAGGACAAAATGCAACCAAGAGCAGCCAGACTCAATCGCCAATCGGTCAACTCAATGGAGATCAACTCCTCGGCTTGCAGTCCCAACACAGATCCTCATTCCACCTCTCCGCCAGCCCAGTAATCCCAAGGCCAGGGTTATCGTCCATCCACCCACAAGTGATGAGGATGAGGAATCAGAGTACAGCCCAGACGACAGAGTCATTATCCCCCAAAGCAGAGACTTCATTACCTCATCAGACTTGCGAACCACTGAGGACGAGGAGGAGGAGGACGAGGAGGAGGAGGAGGATGACGAGGAGGAGGTGGAGGACGAGGAGGAGGAGGAGGGCAGTGGTTATGCAACATACATCTCCGAGACTTTCACCGGAGGCCAACGATCGAGCTCAGTACCTGTCGAGCCCACAGTACAGAGTGACAGTGCAGGCAACGGGGTGGATGCCGGGGTGCAGATTACTCAGGGGCTGGAAGAACGGAGAGGGTTGAAGAGGAGTAAGACGCAGTAGAGAGGGACAAGGGCACAATGACTGGCCATGTAAAGGATTGACAATATTTTGGAACGTAGGGGGAAGACTGTAGGAAAGGAAGGACGGAAAGAAGGAGGGGGATGTATTCAACATGCTTGACAATCTTTGCTGCACATAGCTTCTCAGCGGTTGGCTTGAACATCATCCTGCATATTTAGGCCATTAATCAGACAGTGACCTTGCTCTTCTTGGCTATTTTTATTTGTTACATTGTCATCATCAATATGTACTCTTGCCAGCACCAAAAAAACCACCAGAAAAAAACACGAATTCTTGATTCCCATTCCCAAACGCCTGGAACATTAAAAAGCAAGAGATATCTTCCCTCTCGTCATCTTGGACTCCTAGTAGACCACAAACGGGCTCCTTATTTGGTCCCCTTTCCCTTAGCCTCCGTCTCCCCCAGCTCCCTCACAAACACCCTTGTCCTCCCCTGCCCGGTATAATCCTCCATCCCCGTCTCAAACCCAGGGCAAACCCCAATAGCGAGGTACTTCCCATCCCCACTGAACCCCAAGCTCGCCACCGCCTCGGGGAACTTTTGATACTGCCTCATCCTCCTCTTGGCCTCGGCATCCCAAAGCGCGACCGTCCCATCACCACCACCAGAGGCAAAAGTGCCGTATACCGGGTGGAAAGCGAGGGCGTTGACAGGATAAACAATATCCCCACCACCTTCTTCTTCCGGGGCGGCCTGCCGGTGGCACTTGAACGCGTATTTCCTCGCCTGCGATTCGAGCGTGTCCTCGAACCACTCCACCGCCACCCTCCCCTCAATCGAGGAAGTAGCATACCCAGCATCATTGGGCATGCACGCCACCGCGCGCGTCAAAAACTTGAGCGACGACTCCCTCGTCTGCCATGGGGCGGGAGGACTGGTGGCAGCCGCCAAGGTGGGCAAATCATAAATATGCACCAACCTCGCCGTCATAGCCACCACCAACTTCGTCGGGGACGATGACAAGGCGTGAGGTTTCCCGGGAAGGGGGATGACCAACGGGTCCGACCCCGGGTCGGAAAGCTTGTGGACGTGGAGGGTGTTGTCCCAGCTAGCGGAGACGAGGAGGTTGTGCGCGGAAGAGTAAACTACGCAGCGGACAGGCTCGGAGTGTTTCGACAGGACGGTCTGCTCGCCAGAGGTGAGGTCGATCTTCTTGACTTGTCGGTCCATGCCTGCGGTGTAGGCTTCATTGTTGGAGGCATCGCCGAAGCAGACGTCTAGGACGGGGGCGCGGTGCTCGTATTTGTTGAGAAGATTGGCGTTGTCGCCTTCGCCTTCGGTGAGTTGGTAGAGGTAGACGTGCTTGTCCCAGGAGGAGACGAGGAGGCGGTGGGAGGAGTCGGGGGAGAAGACGAGGGAGGAGACGGCGTCGGTGGGGGGTTGGGGGAGTTCGAATTGTGTTGCTGTTTTATCACCCTATTAATATATACACGTATCATCGATGATGTATAAAGATGCGCGGATACATACAAGGAGCCATTTTGTCCTGGTTTCTCCGTTGTGTGGTGGGAAAGCTGAATCCTGTTGAACAATCAATCACCGTTTGGGAACTCTCTCGCAGATGGGAACTGTTGCGAAAGAGCTCCAATGCGACAACCAATCTCTGGGGCAATGGCAGTAAACAAGCCTTGGCATATTCTGCCGTCCCACACCGCTATTATTTTCCAGACGACCCGTCCCCTGTGGCCCCACTTGCCGCCCCTAGGTTGCGGTCAGCGTCATCGTCTCCCGCTAATCTTTTGGCGGGGCAGATGCAAGCACCGAGAAGCTGTCAAATGTCAACCAACTACTGAACCGAACCATCCAGAACACATCACTCTCACGCGACGCGATTAACATTGAGGCTCACAACACCACACTTGCTTTCAAACCCTTTCGACGAAACACACACCTTTCTTACAACTCTCCCACAACGCACAACACACAATGCCCTTCGGACAACTCGTCCTCGGCAGCCCAGGTGCAGGCAAAAGCACCTACTGCGATGGCAGTACGTTCCCTCCCCTCCTTCTACCCCCTTTCCCATACTAACCTTCCCCTGCCCCAGTGCACCAGTTCATGTCCGCTATAGGGCGCCAATGCTCCGTCATCAACCTCGACCCAGCCAACGACCAAGCCTCCTACCCCTGCGCCCTCGACATCCGCGACCTCGTCACCCTCGAAGAGATCATGTCCGACGACCGGCTCGGCCCCAACGGCGGCGTCCTCTACGCCCTCGAAGAGCTCGAAAACAACTTTGAGTGGCTAGAAAACGGGCTAAAAGAACTCGGCGACGACTACGTCTTGTTTGACTGCCCGGGGCAGGTCGAGCTGTATACGCATCACGCTTCCTTGCGCAACATCTTTTACAGATTGCAAAAGAGGTTAAATTACAGAGTATGGCACAACATCTTTGCTGGCTAATTCTGCTGTATGCTGACTGGTTGTCTACAGCTAGTAGCAGTCCATCTATCCGACTGCTTCTGCCTAACCCAACCATCTCTCTACATCTCCACCGTCCTCCTCTCCCTCCGCGCCATGCTCCAAATGGACCTCCCCCACATCAACGTCCTCACCAAAATCGACAAGATTTCCTCCTACGACCCCTTACCCTTCAACCTCGACTTTTACACCGAAGTCCAAGACCTCTCCTACCTCATGCCCATCCTCGACGCTGAAGCACCAGCCATTCGTAGCGACAAATTCGGTGCCTTGAACAACGCCGTCGCAAACCTCGTCGAGCAGTTTGGGCTAGTAAATTTCGAGGTGCTGGCGGTAGAAAACAAGAAGAGCATGATGCACCTCTTGAGGGTTATCGACAGGGCGGGAGGGTATGTGTTTGGTAGCGCCGAAGGAGCTAATGACACCGTTTGGCAAGTCGCGGTGCGAAATGATTCTTCATTGCTGGATAGTATCGATGTCCAAGACCGGTGGATAGATAACAAGGCCGAGTATGACGAGCGGGAGAGGCTAGAGGAGGAGGAGCAAGAAAAGATCAGGGAGGCCCAGGCCCAGGCCCAGATGGATGCTGCTGGTCCGGTGCCTGGGTTGCCCCAGCTAGGTCCGGGCGATGGCTCGGGGATCAAGGTAGTTCGTAAAAAGAAGTAAACCCTTGCTTTGAAACTAAAACTCAATCCTCAACCATATCATCCTCAGAAGCGGAGTCAACATCTTGACCTCCAAGAATGGGAAGAGTGCGCTGCTGGTTATTATTGTCCCCGCGCAGCAAAGCACCTAGAGAATCGGAGGAGCTTTTGCCTTTGAGCTCCTCCTTGGCGGCGAGAACGAGCAGTCTGGCGCGGCGAATGGTCTCCTTTTCGACCTTGCGCATGGTGCCGCTCACGCGGACGACGCGGTAGATGCAGGGGCGGCCGTTCTTCATGGGACAAGACTGCATGAATGACAGGGCGGCCCAGACGAGGCGGTAGTGGTCGCGGGAGACGCGGAGGATGAAGGTTGAGGTGGCGGGGGAGAAGTATTTGACCTGGAGGTTGTGGTTTACCTTTCCTGCGCCGCAGTCGCCGAACAAAGAGGTGACTTCGTTGCGGACGTCCTTCAGTAGGGTTTGGGGTTTGAGGTCTGAGTTGGTGGGCTGGTTGTAGAGGAGGAGGTCGGAGACGGGGACGGGTACGGGTACGGGTACGGGTGTGCTGGTGGAGGGTGGGAGGTCGGTGTAGAGGATGTTGACTAGGAGGTAGCGGTCTTTGAGGCGGACCATGATGAGGTCTTGAAAATCTAATGAAGGGTTGGTGTGAGGTTTGTTGTGAGGGAAAGTTGATGTTGACTGATGTGTGAGGAGAAGGGTGAGAAATGCTTGGCTTATCGATAAAACGTTGTGATGGGCGAGCCTAAGTTTAAAGTAAAAGTGGGGCGCTGTTAAATGCATCCCTGAAGAGCGCAGAGCCTCTTCATCACAACAACACAACACACCATCTCGAACACATTAGCAGAAAACCATCCATTAACCAGGGTCATATTCCCAACCTGCCATCTTCCTGAAACCCACGCTATAGCTGCCCACCGCCTTTTGGTTATGGCAGTCCCTATCATACAGCCTTCATTTGAACCCAAACCCAAAACTCATCCATCATCATCAAACCCGGCTCAATCAATCATTCATTCAGTCCCAAGTCCCTGAGTTTGTAATCCTGAGTCTCCAATGAAATAAACCCCCCGCCCCTTCCATTGGTCATCCCTCATGAGTGTCCCCCATTCCGATCCTTGACATGTAAGAAAGGTTGCCCTTGCTTGTATATTGCTCCCACAGAGACCAACTATCCCATTCGCCTTCTGTGCTGAAAACAGGTACTCAGCCAGCCAATTCTGCCGGTGCGCTTCGGTAAACAGGCTTAAACCTGCTCAGCACCCCACCCAGCATCAGCCTCGCGCATATTGGCAGGGGGCTCGATCGAGGGGATGAACTCCAAAGCGACGTAAGCAGCACCAGCCAGACCAATAAGCGAGCCCATGATGATCCTGAGAGTGCCGTCGTGGAGAAGGATGGTGCCGATGAAGATGTAGACTAGAAAAAAGTTATCATGTCAGCTGGAACCCCAACCATTAGCAGCCCGGCATAAAATATACTTACAAACACCACGACCAATGAACGAGAACAAGAAAGATCCGTAGCGCGAGACCTGAGGAGGGATCTGGAACTCGAGGAGAGCGGTGGCCAGACCAAAGAGGATCACGTAGACGCCGATAATCGACGACTGGCTGTTATTCCGTTGGTAACGATCCTATATTAAGTATTGGGTATATCACCAACAACTTACAAGCCAACGGGGAAAAACTGGGAGATACCGCCAGCGACCATAAGACCACCCACCACCAAGTTCACAATGCGGCTGTGGGAGGGAATAGTTAGCATATGTTTTGTTCTTTCATCATCCCAAGATATAACACGGCCAGCGATGTCCAAGCTCCATCACGTCGACCCTTGCAAATCCCGACGACTGATGCTGTTTCGGCAGTGCATCGCAACCCAGTATCCACACACTTCGTCCTTAATCGCTAACACAACGCAGGGTCTCGAGGCTCGGTCAGGCGTTCTCGATGCGGCGTCGTCATTGATCCAATACCATCACCGACGTCCAACCCTTCTCGTGCATCGCGCCAATCCATTTGATAGCGCACGATGGGTAGTCGCATTCCGCTATTCCTACCGTCGTCATTGCCTTCCCCCCTCATTTGATCCAACCTCCTCCCCTCTACAGCGCCGCGCAACAACAACCTCGATCCGATATAACGAAAAGCAAAACCTACAAGATGTTTGAGAAATCCATCGTATCTTTCCAATCGAGTCTTTGTAACTCTGTCCGTGTCTCGCTTCCGTGTCTCGAAGTTCGTCGGTCGGTGGGAATCGGAATGGGAATGTCTTGTCGTTTTTGCTAATTGCGCGGCGTTGTTTGGGTGATAGTTACGTGTTCCTTTCTTTTGACGTCGTGCAAAAATGAAAAAAGATTCTAGAAAGAAAAAAAGGAGCTGCCTTAGGGAAGCTTGCGAAACACAAACTTGGTCAGGGAAACCGACAGGGGGAGCTCTTCCGAACAACCAAGAGAGCTGGAAACGGAACCCCAAATGACGCGGCGCGGCGCAACGTGGTGCGGAGGGCTTCCGTGTATTAGGTAAGACTCCTCCGAACCCCGGGTCCAACTCAACAACCGAAGAAAACTCAAACATCAGGAGGACCTAGGGGAATTGATTGCAAAAAGATGGAGGTGGTTTACTTGAAGTATATAAAGGTTTGAAGACAATGTCATCACCACTGTATTTTTGAAGAATGCAGACCCAAGATACCTAGGTTGTCAGTTCCAATAGTTACACTTCCCAAAGAGGTTAAGCCTCAAGTATGATACCATCCGAACGCGGTTTCATGATCCCCCTCCCCTCGCCCACCATATCAACATAGATTAAATATTTCCCAGGAACCGGGTTGGTGGTATCATTCCTATCGATTGCAACTCTGCAAAAGTATGGCTCAGATGGTTCAAATGAGAGTGAAAAAGTGATTGTAATACTGTTGAAGATTGATCAATTGGAATTGCCGTGTCCTCTAGTAAAGGAACCCAAAGCACCCAAAGCACCTATATACCAGCTTTCTCTACCACCCGAAACGCCAAAGGCCGGTCGCTATCCCGTGCTGTCTGTTTAAACTCCAAACCCGTGCGAGCCCAGTGTTGCTTTTCTCGCCCCATGCACTCCACAGAGAACCCCAGGCCCAATGCACCAACCCAAAGCCCATGACAAGATTATTATCCAGCAGATGGTGATTACCCATCCAACTCAGCCAACTCCCTCTCCTTCTGCTTCAACATCTCCCTCATCCTCTCCGCCTCCAAAGCCAACACAGCCCTCCTCTCCGCCTTCTTCTGCTCCGCATCGCTCGCTCCCATCAAACTCCCCGGACTAGGCAGCCTATCCTGCCTTGCCCCCCCTTCCTCCCCCTCCCCCCTCCCCATCATCGTCGGGTTCAAAATACTCTTGATCGAACTTAACCTCTTCGTCTGCTCCCCACTCTCCCCCTCCGGATCCGTTGCCGAAAACGACCTCTTCCTCGACGGTGACAAGAAACTCGCCGGTGACAACGACGTCTGCCGATCCCCACCCATATTCATCAACATAATCGGCGCCAACCTGTTCTCATTGTTGAGCGATTCCGGCTTCGACTGCGATTGCTGACTGGGCTGGGAGGAGTGGTACTGTGCCAAGTCGCTAGATGGTAACGGGGAGGTTTGCCTATTTTGCATGAGGACATCCTCCGGGACTAGTTTCAACGAGGATTCCTGCTGTTGCGATTGTGATTGCTGCTGTTGCTGTTGCTTATTGCCAAAGCCCAGATTGACAGACCCGTCGGCGTTCATCGTGCCACGCTCTTTTGGCGCCTCTGGTGATGGCGACTGCGAGTAGGGGCGGTCGAGGGTGGCACTCTCCATTTCTGGGCTGCCACCGGCGGCGGGGATGACTCTTTTCCTACGCTTGATGACGGATTTCTTCATTGTGACTGGGCGGTGGACGCCATGGAGTTTGTAGTAGAGACCTTTCAGAGGGTCAGCATTGGTGTATTCAAACATCGTCAGCGCTCAACACCTACCACAAGCATTGCAAATCGTATGCCCAGCCTCATCCCTCCGCCAAAGAGGAGTGATCGTAGTCCCGCAATTCTGGCACGCAATCACAACAGTCGTGTTCTGACTCTGGATATGAAGCGCGCCGATATCAATGGGAGTTGGCCCGTCGCCGTCGCTCGGAGTCGACGCTTTCGTCGCAGCTGCTCCACCGCTACCACATCTCAAGACGCCGCTCTTTGACAGCCTGTTGTTGTACGCCGGGCAACCACCGCACCCTTCAGCACCGCCAGTGCCATTGCATTTTCCACCACCAGGACAGGTGCCACTCGAAACTTGATCCGCGTTGACATATGTCGCTGCCGGGCTAGGAGCGAGCGCAACCTGAGCTTTCGGAGAGAGCTTGGCCGAAGGCTGACGAGTGCTAGGGATAACGTTTGGGGGACGCTTCAGATTAACCGGTCGGTGCGTGTTTCGAGCCTTGAGATACAATCCACACGCATTGCAAATCGTGGCCCCCTGTGGTGATCTTCTCCAAAGAGGGGTTTGTGTTGTGCCGCAGTTACTACAAAATTGTCAGACAAAGTCCTGGCCGAGCAACGTGGAGTTTTCCTCACCTGCAAACCTGGCCGGCATGACCTTGAGTAGAGCTAGCAACACTCTGACTTGAAGGACTGTGGGCAATCGACTGAGGACTCGGCGGGTTGGGAGTAAAAGCAGTCGCCCGAGATAATAGTGGCGAGTCTTGAGGTCGCGATGTTTCATCTGGTTGCCCATTTGACTCCATTTTTGAACGGTCCGAATTACTCGCAGCTGCTTTGGAAGTGACAGGTCTTGTTGGCAGGGCAGTTCGTCGAGGAGCTTGCGCCGTTTCTGTCGGTGGCGGAGATTGTGGAACCGGAGACGCTTCTGACAACGCCATCATCGTAAGTCACAGGCGAAGGGATACGCTCTGTTATAATACGGCAAGGTGAAGAGTTCGGTGTTGGGAGCGAAAATATGCCCCAACATATGACGGAAATGGCCGTGGGCTAGTGTCGAGCCGTCCAGCGAGCGAGGCTGAAATCTCAACCTAATCGAACGAAAGATCGGTCTTTTGTCTATATAGAAAACGAGCGGTGCTAGCAGCCAGTCTAAGGGGAGTGAGATTGCCCTGTTTGACTGATTGATAAGAGCTGCTGCTGTCGTGGATGGGACAAGGCCAGCACGCCACTATGGATTCGAATCCGAAGGAACCGTTGGAGGGGCGACTTATTGCTGGAGCAGGTGATAATGGTGGAGAGTGACACCACTGGGCGATTGGGTAATTGGTCTGGTGTGGTGGGATGATGTTGTCTACCAAGGTCGACAAGATGGGAGAGAGAAGATGGTGAGCAGGTTCGGAGCAAAGAGTATTTTGTTAGATGAAGGGGCATGGGGGGGGGGGGATAGGGGGAGCCCCCAAGTGCAAATGATCAACTGCGTGGGATGCCTACTCCACCGCTCCACCAAGGCCGTGGTTATCTGATCTAGGCCGAGCGAAGAAGGGTCCGGGGATCTGATACCGATCTGTCTTCTAGGCCTGGACTATTGATTTTCTGGACCCGAAAGACCCAAGGATGCTACGCCGTATTCAACTGACGGGGGACGGGATGGGGACAAGACAGGACTACAGGACCTCACAAATCCGTCCCGGGCTCGTCTTGGTGATCTCTGGAGATGTGGTGATGGACAGCTCGGATTTGCAGCGGTTTGGGCAGCTAAAATCTAGAGAGGCAAACCTCCGTGGTTGGGGCTGTTCCCGAGAGAAAAGGAAGGACCGGCTGGGTTTCGAAGCCCGTCCCGGAAGATTGGGTCCACTTGGAAGCGCGTCTAGCGAATCAGGGGGCTGTCAATGTCAGCAGACAAGGTCTTAGTGGTCTTGACCGGGGTGTCCTGGGACTTCCCAGCAGCGTCCGTCATTACGTAGGCAGCGCGGGCTGCGAGCGTGAATCCTGCATTATGTATTAGAAAGCGGTGAGAGAAAACGGTGGGCCCCAATGCAACATTCTTGCTACGATATGTTCTTGATATGCAGCAAGAACTGATTTTTTTTTTCATCTCAGCGAAAAGCTTGCGCCTCTGTGCGACCAAGGGTGTCGCGGTCGGCTGCCCATCTCCGCCGCATCAGGAGGTTGGCCTTGGCGCTGCCGTGATCTGCGCATTGCCAGGACACCCAAAACTCCACCTCCGAATCAGATTGGCTCCTCGTCGACAAGATTGCAGCGACACCATACCCGATATGCCGTGTGACCTGACAAGGACCCGGACCGCCTTGTGCACTCCCTCTTTGTAACAAAGTGGACATATCTCGCGATCATGTGGACATAACGATATCATATAGTTAGTGCGCGGGGGAAGAGAGAGAAAGATACGGAGTCGCTTGTTGTTGGGCAGAACGGCTGCTACAACCGAATGATGCGATTTGATTATCAGATCATCAAGACAACGGCGGCGAGCGATTGCTATCCGAATCTTCGATAACCAACTTCGGCTTCCCCAGACGAAACTGGGCCCGAAGGTGCCAAATCCGGTTTGGCCTGCTGGCGCCGTCTTCCCATTCGCCCCGTTTTCGGCGCGACTGGTTGCCTTAGCATTGCCTTGGTATCTCGGCCTCGTCGGCTGATCATCCTATTTGACAACCCAGATGCCGCCAAGCATTTTTATCAATTCCATCAACGAAAGTTGCCCCCAACATCACTATCACCCAAGATTATGATGTTCGAATCAGCTTACAAGCCACAGCACAAGAAGCGGGTCCGAGGTTTACTTTTTTGCGTGGTTTTTTTCATCAATGGCTTCATGTGTTTTTTTTTTCCCTCAATGTCGTTTCGGTTGAATAAAATACTCCTCAACTCCGCTCCTCATCCGGACCTTTGAGAGAGAAAAACACAGCCCCCCAAAAATTCTAGAACAGGGCTCCGCTGTCGTCTGCCGGCTCTTCGTTACAGCCAACTCCACCGAAGAGAGGTCCGAATCCGGGGTACAGGATAATCAAGATCCATTTGATTGGTCTCGTCCTACAAGAAAAGATCTTAGCGGCATGGTGGAATACCATGTCGATCCACTGCGGCATCGGAATTGCAAATCCAAACCACCAGATATCGGCGCTGCAAATCTGGCATATTCTCTTACACCCTCTTCTGCAAAGCCCCCGTCTCTAAGTGGTAGATATTTCCCGGAGATGTAGATTCCGTGAATCCACACAATCGGTAATTTTCTCAATGGGCTAGATGTTTAGCCCGTTGAGCAGAACTAGCAACATCCTAGCAAAGCACAACCACATGTTTGGTGTAGTAGAGCTTCGAATGACGGCAACTCTTTAGAGAACAAGTGTTTGCCTCGGTTATGACAGTGAAATTAAAAACAAATTAATTACCCAGTCCTGCTAACACATGGCTGATGATACAATGATGAATATCAACTCCTCCCAGGGTATATATATACTACACAACAAGATCAAAGATGCGAAGACAAAGGCAACAAATCAGAAGAAAAAAAACATGAGAAAAGAAAAGAAAAATCATCAGCAATAACCTCATGAACGCTATGTCCCTTCCATGACCATGAACTCATCATCAAGTCATAATAACCCCCCCCCCCACCCCCCCAAATCCAGTATTCGCAATCAACCACCAAAGCAGTCTACAAGTCTGGATCATCAGACTCGGATAGCTCCGCCATCACTCCCTCGACATTCAGCAGATCAATCATCGCTTCCCTCGCCAAGTGAACAGGAATCGCAATGGACAGCGCATTCCAAAGCCACTGCCCCCGATCATTCATCGGGACCTGATGCAGAATGACAATCGGGTTCTTTGACGACGACGGATCAAAGCTGCTCAGCATGACCATGTGCTGAATGACAGAAAACTGGTAAAGCGTCGGTGGCTTGGAGACAAATCTGTTGCCCCTCGCAAGAACCTCGCGCCATCGTTTCCCCAGAGCTCTCAACCTCCTCTCGATGCTGCGAGACATGGCATCTTCAATCTCTCTGTCGTAGCTGCTCCCCTCTTCGTCGCTATCATAGGCAAAAGAATCGTGATCAACCCCCATAGAGTTGTCTCGAGAAATGGGCATGTTGAGTAGCCGCGCAGTGTAGTCGTGCACCAGAACAATTGAGAGTTCCTTGCGGGGAGTCATGCTGGCATCCTGCATCGACCATTTAATGTAACTCTTGATAGCCTTGACAATAAGACCGGACGCCTTGTCCTGGAGGCCGAGCTCCTCGTAGTCGGTGACGTGCTGGGAGAGGTAAAAGAGGTTCTCGAGTGCCTTGCCAGCTGTATTTCATGTTAGGCACTGTTATTATGGCAACCAAAAGGAGGTAGGGTATGTTACTTACCTGCGTGAATGCCCTTGTAGGCATGAATCACCACACGCTTCTCGCAATCCGAAGGAGTGAAAACATCGTCAAGATGAGGCTGATTGATGCCCCACATCTTGAAGCAGATTTTCCAGTTGGATGGAATCATGGGATGCAACCCACGCAGATAGATGAGCTTGTGGACCTTCTTTTGATCTTCGTTCCAGTCATCGTAGCCTTCCAACCGACTGACGCCTTCCTCATAATCGCCAATGATCTGAGAAATGGTGCCATAGTCATCCCAGTCGCTGTTTGTGTCGTAGCCATCTTCATGGATCTCCAGAGGCTCATCCTCCTGGATCATAGCCAGTCTGGAGGTTGGGCTGTATTGACCAAAGGATGGTTGTCGGTGCTTGGGGTAACCACCGCGTAGATGGTGACGAGACTCGGGGGTTCGTGGGTCAGAACTGGGTGGTGTAGAACCTTCCGAGTCGGTCATATCGACATCGCCATCGTCGTCTCGTTCAATGCTTTGCTTGATATCCTCCTCAATGCACTCTTGAAGACGGGAGTCTTCCTCATATCTGTCGCCATATTCGGATGTGGGTGGTGGGCTCAGGGGCAGAGGTGGGGAGGACTTGACTGACTCAACCCACGACCCCACGCTTGCCATGAGCTTTGGCAGCGATGAGAGCGCACCGGAGGGCCCCATCGCGACCACTGCGACTTTTCGAGGCCGAAATATCTCGGAATAGTGTCAAATGATTGAGATATCAAAGGGCCTGTCGTGTATTTCCTCGAATTCCGTGATGGAGGGAAGGTTCTGAAATGGTGGCGGGCACAATTGACGATGGTTTTGGTGGCTTGAGTTTGTGTTGGTTGCGACTTGTAAAGCTTGAATTCTTTCTGGAAGCTCGACAATCAATGTCTTTGTGGAAAGCGCGGGAGAGAATGGAGGAGAAGTGGGCTGCAAATGGGGAGCAACGTGGGAACAACAGATCAAGTGAATGGCCTTTTCCGTCCCAAAAGTGAGGCTGCTCCCATAACGAGCGGGAAACAATGGACAATGTGATGGTTTGTGTCTAGGTGTGCAAGGCAACTTCCGGAAGCAGATGAGTAGCAGCCACCTTCCCAATTGCAAGAACCGAGCTTCAGTTGGGCCCCTCCGGAACGTTATATCGGTAAACCGAATTCCTCCGGCGGATGACCAAGATGATTTTCATCTCAGCTGCATTCGGCGGCTCATGTGTGCAAATCATGTAGCCCGTCGTGGCCCAACGCCAGAAGTGACTGACAGGCTGGCGCAAGGCCATGTGGAAGCACGAATTGGGATTCAATTCTTCAAGGGAACAGGCAATTGTGCCCCTGATTCGTACCTGTCTTGCCTCAGTAAGCCATCACTTACATCATCACACTTCCCCAACGACATAAGGCAGCCAGCGAAAAGGATGCCCAATCTGCTAATAAACAGCAGCTGGCCGAGTGGCTCAGAGGATTGAATTTAGAGAGGCCAACGTGGGGGTTGAAGTTGCGGTTCAAGGTAAGGACGGGACATCTGGTGCAGGTGGTTGAACTCCAGCAGTAGTCCACCATTCATACTGGCAGTTTGTCTTGAAACACACTCTCTCATATACATGGTCATGGAGGCAAACATGAGTTGACGTTGGAAACACATGTCGAACAGCGGATAGCTCCATCAATTGTATAAGTCAAGGTGGGGGTACCTGGCAATGACCAGGTGCAGGGGTGAACAGCTTCCCAAATTCCCACCTTCCAAGCCAAATGCCGACCCTCAGAAGTGGCCCGTGCGCCCCTTCCACTTCACGCTAGCAATCCCTGTTCCTGTTTTCGCGTCGGGCGACTTTTTGATGCTCTGCAACTTTTTGTCTGGAAGTACCGAACGGTATGCGAATACATGCAACACTCGACTAGTTGCCAACGCCCATCCAACCCCAACAATGGCGACCGAATTCGAGAAAATGACCGTTACGCAGCTGCGGGCAGAGCTGAAGCGCCGCAAGCTTGCCACTACCGGTCTGAAGGCTGCGCTTGTTGCCCGTTTGGTGGACGATGAGGAAGGGCAAACTGCAGCGGCCGACCAAACAGCACAGGACGAAAGCCCCGCCGACGAGCCGGAACCTGTTCAAGATGCGAATCCAGAAGCGGGGTCAGAGAAACACGATGATGTCGCTATGGACGATGCGCCGGTAGCAGCTCCAGAGAAAGCCACTTCGCCAGCTCCCGCCTCGCCTTCCCCGGCTGTCAAAAACGAAGAGACTGTCACCACTCAACCTGATTCTGCCATCGAGCCTGAAATTACAACCCTACAAGACTCTAACCCTCCCCCCGAAGAACCTGCCGAGGTCGAGCCCGTCACTATTACCGAGATTGTTCAAGATACAGTTAGCCGAAAACGTCGGTCTAGAAGCCCTCCCCCGTCTGGTGAGGAATCATCTAGCAAGCGAGCTCGACAAGACGACTGGGAAGAGAAGGCCGAGTTGGAGGAGTCGAGGAAGGAGCCAGCCTCACCGGCCGACAAGCACCTCGGCGAAATTACTCCCTTCGAAGTTGTGCCCCCGAGGAGCCCCGAAACTCGACTTCATGACGAGTCACCGCCTCACAAACGTCACGAGCGAGCTTGGGGTCAAAGGCTGGAGGGCAACCAACCCAGATACCAAGAGCAAAATATGGATATCGACGAGCCTATGGACGAATTTGGTCGAGTTGAGCGGTCTAGGCACCCTGCCACGTCTGCGCTCTACGTCAAGAATTTTATGAGACCCTTGAGGGAGGCATCAGTGCGCGAGTATTTTGTCCACCTTGCCGCTTTCCCAGGCGCGCCCGTCGATGACAGCTGCATTATCGACTTCCACGTAGATCAAATGCGTACTCACGCTCTTGTTAAGTTCGACAGCGTTTCGGCAGCCTCGCGGGTCCGCACAGCGTTACATGGGAAGGTCTGGCCAAATGAGAGCACCAGGAAGGAACTTTGGGTTGATTTCATTCCCTCCGAGAAAGTCGCAGAGTGGATTGACCTCGAGCGCCAGCATGGTCGTCAGACACGCTGGGAAGTCATCTTCGAGGACGACCCAGACACCCAGGAAGTCGTCGTGGCCTCTCTGGTGCAGTGTGATGGGGCCAGTTCAGGAAACAACAACTCGGGCAACAGACCTGCCCGGCAACCACTTCCGCCCCCGGTTGTTCCCACCGGACCCGGACGGAGATTTGCTGAACTTCAAGGCCAAGGATTCCCTGCTGGTCCCCGCGTCCGCGGCAGAGGTCAAGCTAAGCACGACCTCGAGAACTTTGAAAAAACGAAGAGAACTTCTACAGGCCCGCCGCTGTACTACCAGCCCGTGTCGGAAGAGTTGGCCCAGCGACGTCTCGACAATATGCAGTCCTACTACACCAAGGACCGCTACCGCGACATGGGCCGCGAGGACGAAATCAACCGGTACACTTTTGAGAGCGGAAGCCAGTTTGTGGATCGTGGAAAGGAGGTCTTTGTAGGTATTCGGCACCCTATTCGCGAAGCCAGGAAGCGTCGCGAGCGTAACGAGCTCCGACGTGGGCGTGGGCGTCGCACACCTTCTCCTCCTCCTTTCAGGCGCCAAGATGATAGGGCGTATCGGGTGCGTGATGACCGTGCTGGTGGTGGTAATTGGAGTCGGGATCGGTTTGAGGCCTTGGATAGGGAGGATGATCGGATTGGTGATGATGATGCCGGCCCCAAGATTCAGCCGGATCGCCGCCTTAGCATGGAGAGAACGGATAGAAACGATGACCGCCGCTGGGAGAGGGGGGATGATGTGCCCAGGTCGAGATTTGATGGTGCACCGTTGCCGACGTATACTGGGCCGCCGAGGAACCACCGTCGCCGGGGTGGTGGTGGTCGGAACAGGCGCTAAATATTTTGAGGAAAGGATAGGGGGGGGGGCATCTGATCTGCACACACTGGCAGAGGTGTTTGATCTATCAAGCCGTTTTTGTCTTTGTCGTTGTTTGGCAGGACGGCGTTGTAAGACTACATATAGGTGTTGAAGATGGGGCGGCACTGCACTGACGATGGCGAAAATGGAATATAGAGACGAGCGATGTCGAGAGAGCTAGCAGCAGCGGTGATTTGGTCATCGAGGGCAGATTATCACGCGCCCGGATCTGCAACGCCAGGATCAAGGTGGGACATTTTTTCTCTGAGCTTTTGCCCTTTCTATAAAGAAGCTACCTACTTGCTGGGGCTCAAAGAGGAGCACAGTATATAACTCGAGAGCTGAAACAAAAAATGAGTTGGTACATTGAGGAAAAGATGGATAAATACTAGCCGTATTCTTCATTAGCTGAGCGGAGGAGATGATGGGATGGGGAGATGAAAAAAGACATGGGGAGGAGAAGCTACCAAAAAGCATTGCAGTGTGTGCAGATTAGATACCCGTGTAAACAGACAGATACGTGTAGTCAATATACAAAATGAAAAGTTTTGTAGATATTGTTCCCCGAGATGATGTGGTGTGATGATTCTAGTTCGGCATAATAACGCCTTTTGATCATCACCGATGATCCCAACCAGTCACCAGCAACGCCTCATTATGATAACAATACTTGATATTCCGTACAACCCTATAGCACTATGTATTCACATACACACAACCCCCACTCGAAGCAACGCTCGCCATCCCATTTTTCTTCTCCCAAAACCCCTACTCCAACCCAAACTCACCCAACTCCATTTCACCACACTCCTCGCCCTCTGTCCCCCGCGCTGCCACCCCAAAAATCACCACGTATCCTCCCAATAAACCACCCTCATTCCCAACCACCTCTCCCCCTCCTCCCTATCCCTCACAAGCTTCTCGCCCACCAGCACATCAACAAACGCCTTCCTCACCGCAATCGGCATCTTCCCCGCACTCCCACAAACAGCCACCACCGGCCCCCGTCTCATCAACCCCGCCACCTCCTTCGCCCTCTTCCTAATCTCATTCTGCACATACCTCTTCCCTCTATCCGGATCCATCTCCTCCACAATCCCAAACTCCACATTCTCCTCCTCCCCCGTTTTGATCGGCTTCTCCCATACATTCTCCCCCTTCTTCTTCTCCTCCTCCTCCTTCTTCTTCTCTGTCGCCGCCGGCTCCTCCTCATCCCTCGAAAAGCAAGGAAACACCGTCAACCCCTTAATATACTCCCACTCCCCCCCAAAGTGATAATCCCTATCCCTATTCCTCCCCCCATAAAACAGCACCGTCTCCCCCACCTGAGTATCCACCTCGTACTCCAACCTCTCCTGAATCAACGCCCTAATGGGCGCAATCCCCGTCCCTGTCGCCACAGCAATAAGCGGCCTCTGCACCGCCGTCGGTAACGGCATCATCACATTCTCCCCCCTCGACGGGCTGATCCTCACCGTCAAGGGCGTGTCCCTTGCAAGATACTTCAAATACCTCGAGCAGAGCCCCTGTCTCGGTTTCCGAATAATGGTCTTGTACTCCACCAGCGCAGCCAGAATCTCAATTCGAAGGGGAAAAACAGGTAGAGTCCCGTTCGGGGCGTCAGGGTCGTATTGGTTTTCGGTCAAAGAGGCTCCCCCGTTGCAGACGGAAAAGTCTCGATGGCGAATAACGGGAAACAAATCGAGGACTCGCTCGACCGGGATTTTCACGCCGGGAAAGTCAGAGAGGAGCTCGAGGATGGTGCGGCGGGGGCGGGAGGTGTAGTCGTAGAATTCTTGCTCGTTGCCCGGGAGGAGGAATTCCCACAGACGCTCGACTTCGTCTCGGTTCTTGGTGAAGAAGGTCAGCTCGCGGATAAAGTTCCGTTTCGGGATGGCGGTGATGTCGAGGTTGTCCGTCAGAATGTCGCGGAGGGTGGAGGACTGGCCGTCTACCCTGTCAAAGACACGCTTTGGTTTGTTGGACATGTCCAGGGGTTTGTCAGCAACGTCGTTCCAGCCCATGAGGTTGATCAGCTCTTGGACGTCCTCGGGGTAGTTCTTTGGGTAGATCGACAGTATCGATTGGCCGCGCATGTCGCTGACCTTGCTGATGAGTTTCTCGCCGCCGTAGACGTCAAAGACAATGTGGCGGACGTCTTGCCAGTGGTCAAAGGGGGTGACTCTGGCGTTGTCAACCACTTTGGCGAATACACCTTGAGGAATTGCCAGTCTGGTTGGTAGAGGAGTTCTCGGACCGACCTTCTTGGTCGTCTCGAGAGAGTACTTGGATGGGTGGTCTTTGAGGATATTGTTCTTGTCTAGGACGTCGACTGGCGTTCCCGTTCGGACCTCCCAGCTTTGGTCTTCCCGGGCTTCCCAGGCGGGGAAAGTGGCATCTTGTCGCTGGTTGTGTTCGAACCGACGCTGGGATAGAGGCGCGGGGTTGTCGACATGGGAGTAAAGGGCGCTTTGGGTGGCGCTTTTGTCTGCTGGAAGGGGCTCCATTGTCGGCATAACCCGTACTGAATACTTTGGTGGAAGAAGCTGGTCGTTGGGAATGGGCGCTGTTCCTTCGGGAAGTGGGTATTTCTCCAACAAAGCGGCCTTGAACTCTTCTTTCCAGGGAAGGTATATGCTGTCGATGCTGTCGATGGTTGCGGTGTATTGTTAGAGATATCGAGTAATCCGTTGAGCTGCCAATAAAGTTGAGATCAAAGTTGCTTACCCGTTGTTGTGGCGCTCGTCTGCCTCGGCAGCCCTAAAGAACTCTGTTGCCCCAAGCTGCAGCAGCCTCACTTGCAACTTCCGTGCTGCCCAGTTGAACCTTCATTGGCAGTTCTGTTAGCAAGTCATGTCCACGACTGAATAACAAGGCAAGCAAACTCACTTTCGATAACCGCTGTCACCAAGGCCGAATATCGCAAACTTGACAGGTCCGAGGCAGTTGCTGTTATTAAGTTTCTCTCGCCTAAGATTTTTCCAGAAATTTAGAGTATTTGTGGGCATGTCACCTTGCCCAGTTGTGGAAGTTACAAAGACCACCAGTGAGACTTTCAAGAGGTCTGACTGCAAGGTGAGTGGAGAGTCAGTCGGGGTCTTCAAGTGAATAGAGTGTGAAGTTGCTCCCATGGGCATTGACCAACCAGTTTAAAGCTATCCATCTCATCCATCCTGGTATGAAAGTGCAGCCTCCGTGCCATGTCCTCGAGCTCTATTGCGATTTCCTCAGCATTTCCTGTCTCTGAGCCGTAAAGGATGGCCATGCTCCTCCCCGCGATTTCAACGGGCGATGCCAGTTGCGCCATCTTGGCCGGGCTCTCCACTTGTACACTCATAGTATACCTTTGGATAGTGAGTCCGTCAAGATGGCCGAGAATGGTGCTGGGTTGAGTGCTAATCTTCGAGTTTATATGTTACTTGTGACTGAGCTTGCCGCCCAAAAAATCGTGAGATGCTGAGTCATAAAATCTCCAAGCTTGATTCTTGAATGTGCGGTGTCGTCGAATATCCGGTATCGTAAGTTGAATTAAACTTGGTCAATGGTGGTTGTAGAACTACAGAATGGTTTTACTGATTGATAAGGCTGAGCAGGAGCTTGAATGTGAGATCTCCGTGGTTTATCGGATCGGTCCCGAAACCGGGCCGGCCCAGCTTTCGTCCCGCTATCCTGGAGCTTTGTTCCCGGATCGGACCTCCGAACATCGGGTTCCTTGCCGTCATCTGGGAGCATCTCCAGCTCGGCTCAAATCCCAAGAACAGAGGCCGTGCTTCTCCGCCTCCGTCTTCAAACACCCTGAGCGCAAGGACTCCATTCCCAGGGGCGAGTTTGCCATTCTCAGGTGATGTGATGTTGGACAATGCTCGAATCAAGGCTAGGGGCAATGAGGGGCAACGGGCAGCAATGAGGTCAAAAGCGGAGCCCGTTTATGGAGAGGTGGACACATGATAAACATCGCCGGCGCCGTGGTTCAGCTTCTTTGCAAATACAGCCTGACAGCCAAGATGTGCCCCTATTTCTATGGTCAGAGGGTTGCCCCTTTTTCTAATCTGGCTGTACACCTCAGCTGCATACGCATAAACAACCAGTGCAGAATCGCCGTGTCAAAGCACCAGTGAACGGACAGGATGGGGGCGGTGTGGATGGAAGCGTCTGGAAGCTGCCCTTGCCTCTCACCCTGTCGACCAAGGGCCCAGTGCCAATTTCCCCGCTAAAACGCCTGTCATGCCAACCCTGCCCTTGCGGGCCACTAACAGCAAAAGGGGCATCAGCCAATCGGGCGCCGTTGTGTCATCGGATTTGGCACAATATCTCTTGTTTCCATTTTTCATGTGTGCGTCGTCAACCGCTGCATATATCTCTTCAAAAAAAGAGAGAGGTGCAGGCTGGCGATCAGCATGATCTCTGATCACCAACTCTCCCGTTGCCGAGCTGGTTAGGCATGGACCAGGCCTCTCTTTGCGTTTCCCGCAGCCGGGCGGGCCCCAAACTGAATTGGACTTGTTCGCCCAAGCTCCCGGGTGGAATGAACCAAGACCAGACAAGGGTTTGGCTCCGAGCTCGCCAAGGGCCGTCGATGATCTCAGACCTCCAGCTTCCCATGAGCTGTTATATACAGCTGGATGGATGGCTTTAAAACACACGATGGAGACTACAATGCAGCTCATGGGTGGTTTGTTTATTCAGCATACCGGATCGATCTTCTTGGGTATATATATGCATTTATAATCATCTTCACCAACACTGGCCCCCTGATAGAGCTGCCCGGGGCTCATGATTCATTTCCGTTTGGCGCAACCTCAACCGAGCGCCAGGAAGAGAGAGAGCGAGGGTGGTGCTGGTAGAGCCACGACACTACGGATATCGTCAACTAGCTTTGTATCATGACATCGACACTACACTCTTGTTGGTGAAGTGTCTATCTGAACACAGCCTCTGTATCTCCATGTCCATGTGGTGAGTAGAGTAGGTGCTCTTTCCGAGATGGAAATTCGTCTGATGTTCGCCATGGCTCCAGATAATACGATGGTCCAGAGCCACTTTCCTATTCAGTCAATGACAATAGATCTCCTGAGCTTTGAGTGAAATCCGGAGCACGGGCCCCATTGAATGAGGGGAGGTTTTTGAGATATATACTTTCCCTCTTCGACTTTGAAACTCTGAGGCTCATCACTTGACTTGGAATTTAAAAACCCACACAGAAACGACAACCGCCAAAAACCTAATAAGCTAAACAATAAGTTGAGCTTCCTGCCCCGCGCCAAACCCACGGAACCGAACCACACCGAGACAAAACACACCGTATTTTCTGTTTTCTCGACACAAACAAATAGTGAAGATCACCTATTGAGGTATGTACCTGCTAGACCTACGTGTTTCCACATCACCATATACAACACATCTTCATCGACGAGTCTTGTCGTCTTTCCTCCTTCCTCCTTCCCCCAGAAGTTCTGGTGGTGGGGCGCAGCACCACTTCACCACGCACCCCTGCCTTTGACTGCTGCCCTGCACTTTCCCTGGGCCCCACCTCCGTCTCCCACCCCCCCAGGCAATTGCTGTTCAGGCCAGGTACGTACCGCCGCCACGCCTGCCACTCGGCCGCTTGCGAAAAATTATTTGAATTTTGGCCGCGCCGACTCACAGCTCTCCCCCTTCTTCCCTCTCCCCACGTCAACCACCAAGGATCGCTACAGCTTCAACCTTCGTCAACCACACCTCTCAAGACCTCTAGGGCTCCAAGCTACCCTATTCTAACTCCCCCCCAGACCCAGAGTCCAATTCCAATACTCGTTCCGTGAACGTCTCCCTCCATCACTACCTGACGCTTCACCCGTTGCCTTGCTCAACGAGTCATCACCCGTCACATCAACTTGTGGATCGACTCCATCAACACCAACCGACATCCTTATCAATCACCATGTCTACCGTCGTGGAGAAAGTTGCTGACGCTGCTGCCGCGGCCGTCAATGACGTTACCAACGCTCTGGCCAACACCTCTATCACTGGCAAGACAGACGACAAGTCTGCCAACAACAACGATGCCGTCCTTGCCAGCGCTGCTGAAGGTCGCCGCCTGTACATCGGCAACCTTGCCTACGCGACAACGGAGGGGGAGTTGAAGGAATTCTTCAAGGGCTACCTTGTGTAAGTTTGTTTGCTTTTTTTTTCTTTGTTCACACACATGCATTGGTTGCCGTCAAGCACGGTGTCGGGGTCGACTCGAGTCGAGTTGCGCTTGGTGATGTTTGTTTCCTGGTGTTGTTATTGTCGTTGCTGCTTGACCGCTGCTTCGCTTGATGCCTGGTCCTGCCACTCCACCGCTGGCCACGTCTACCTTGCACCAGCACCATGGCCTCATGCGGCCCACAGCTCAGCGGGCTAGACCACGCCTGTTCCCCGCAGCCGGTCAAGCTTGGCCGTCCCTCACTGTTGACAAGCACTTTGTTTTGAGCCATCGCTGACCATGTATCGCCTCATGCAGTGAGTCCGTTTCTATCCCAAAGAACCCTCGCACCGACCGCCCCGTCGGCTATGCCTTCGTCGACCTCTCTACCCCCAGCGAAGCTGAGCGCGCCATTGCTGAGCTCTCCGGCAAGGAGATCCTGGAGCGTAAGGTCTCTGTTCAGCTCGCTCGCAAGCCCGAGGCCAACGAGAAGACTGAGGGTGCCGGCGAGGGCACCAACGCTGATGGCACGCGCCGCCGCCAGTCTACCCGTGGTCGTGGCCGCGCTGGCCGTGGCCGTGGTGGACGCGCTCGCGGTGGCCGTGGCAGTGACGTAAGTTGTTGTCTTCGAGCTCAGTGCATGAGAGCTATCTCAAGCTAACACTTTTGCTCAGGACGAGAAGAAGGAGGACGGTGCTACCTCGGGCGACGCCGCTGAGATTGCCGCCGATACTCAGGTTCAGCCCCTGAAGGACATCACCAACGAAGCCAACACTAACCAGGACAAGTCTGGCAAGAACCAGGCTCGCGCTGCCCGTGAGCGCCGTGAGCGTGGTCCCCCCGCCGATGGCATTCCTTCCAAGACCAAGGTCATGGTCGCCAACCTCCCCTACGACCTGACCGAGGAGAAGGTTTGTGATCACCGTCCCGGTTTCTTGTGTGCAACATGCTAACCCCCTTCCAGCTCAAGGAACTCTTTGCTGCCTACCAGCCCTTGTCCGCCAAGATCGCTCTTCGCCCCATCCCCCGCTTCATGATCAAGAAGCTCCAGGCCCGTGGTGAGCCGCGCAAGGGACGTGGCTTCGGCTTCGTCACCTTGGCTTCCGAGGAGTTGCAGCAGAAGGCCGTTGCTGAAATGAACGGCAAGGACATCGATGGCCGTGAGATCGCCGTCAAGGTCGCCATCGACAGCCCCGACAAGACTGACGATGACGTTCACGGTGCTCACGAGGCCGGCGAGAAGACCGAGGGTACTACTCAGGAGCAGGCTCCTGTTGCCCCGGCGGCTGTTGCTACCCCTGCCCCTGCCCCGGCGGCTGCCACGCCCGCAGCTGCTCCTGCCACCAGCACTGCTTAAAATGCTCAACCCTTGATGAGCATGGGGACGCAAGACGATATCGGCGGAGATGATGATGATGACTTCGTTATCTTTACCCGACTATCTTCTTAATCGTATGTATTAACTTTTTTGCGGTTGCATTTTTCACGACAGGGAATGGGTGGATGATTTCGGTTATGGTTAGAGATGAAAATGAAGCGGCAGATGAAATAGTTTCCTGGGCGTCTGGTTCGAGGTTGGGGTTTCATAAGGGCTCCATTCACGGTTGAGACAACAGGAGGAGAATTATCTCGGCTTTGGCACACGAATACTCATTAATTTTCATGACCTCTTTGCCTGATTTTTTTGGTGGAGTAGACGACATTTGATTCTGCGCAGTTCATCGGGTGGTGTACTATGGACATGTATGTATGTAGTGATGAGGCCAAAATGGGATCTCGGGATGAGTGAAGGAAAAGTTGTTCTTTTGCAATATCATGACGACGGTGCCTGGAATGGTGTTGTGGTGGTTGTGAGCATTCCTGCAGGGGCACGGGATGGAACAGTTTGGCGCCCAGAGTTCTAGAACAAAATTGATGGCACTGTCAAACTTGCAGCCTCACGGCGGCTGCTCACCACAACCTTCACCGTACGGAACCATCACCGATCAACTCTGCATTACTTTCAGGTAAAGGTAATGAGTGCTGAGAGTGAGGGTTGTGGAGCGTTGTGTGGGGGGTGGTGAGTGGTGAAAGTGAGAGTTATAGATGGTGGGAGTTTGGGTGGTGAGAATTGTAGATGATCGTAGTTATGGGGGGTGGTAAAAGTGAGTGCTATGGGTGGTGAGAGGTGTGTGGTGAGGGTTGATCAACTCTGATTTGGTGAGTAGTCCAATTTCTGCCTCACTATTCGGAGGAAGAGGTTTATGGGAAGTTGAAGCGGAGGCTGTATGTTGTCTTGCTGCGTCCGTGGAAGTTTCTTGACTCTGTCATTACTCAACTCGGTCGAGGAGTTGGAGCTTTGAAGGGTGGGAGGGATGGGCCTGAGGAAGATCGTGGTGTTGTTGTGGATACCAAAGGACGAACTGGAGATGGAGAGTCTCAAGGGGGGGGGGGGGGGGAAGAGGGCTGAAGGAGAAGAATGAGGCGCTTGAGGGGGCGAAGGAGGCTCTTGGGAAGGAGAAATCGGTTCTCGAACATGAGAAAATCTTGCCTCGAAAAGGAGAAGTCGGCTCTCGAAAATGAAAACTCGACTCCCGGAACTGCACTGAATAGGGTCGAGAAGGACAACACCCGGCTCAAGGACGCCTACAAAGCGCTGCTGGAGAAGGACGATGCACGGGCGGAGGAGTATGACAAGCTGTCTGATGAGAACTCTGCACTTGAAGCTCGCCTTAGGGTGTTGGAGGCTGCGAAGCGGGAGGTGGAAAAGGAGCTTCGGTTGATGACTGAGGATTGTGAGCGGCAGGTCAGGGGTTGTGGATGGGTTCGTTAAGGAAAACGAAAGCCTTGCTGCCCAGGCTGAGGAGCTTACCCAACAGAACGGAACGCTGCGAGGAAAGAATGCAGCGCTTGAGGATGAGAAGGCGGATCTTGAGAGTGAGATTGGTGTTTTGCAAGGGAATAATGACAGCCTGATGGAAGGGAATGTTGATATTGGGGCTGCTAATGCGAAGCTTGAGTTGGATAATGCGAACCTTGGTGCAGCCCTCAAGGATATGAGAGGCCGATTGGAAGGCAAAAATGAGATGGTTTCCAACCTCGAAAGGGACCTCACCAAGGCGACTGCTGGCATTTCGAACATTCGCAAGAAGTTGGACGATGTGAAGATGGGGCAGCGGGCTGCTATGGATGATCTGCGCAGGGAGAAAGCCAAGGTAGTGGAGGTGGAGACAGAGCTAGAGGTGGTCAAGGCTAGGCTGGAGGACGCGAACGCGACCACCGCCGAGTTTAGCAAGACGGAAGAAGCCCTTAACGATATGATTATTGTGCTCCGGGGACGTATCGCCAGACTGACTGAGGGGGCGGAGGACAACAAGTTGACTGAGCAGGTACTGCGGGCGGAAATATCCAGCCTCAAGTCGGAGCTACAAGCTCTCGAGGAGCAGAAGGAGGAGCTTCGCAGGTCATTCAGGGATAGTCAGACTGCTCTCTCGGACAGTACTGAGAAGTTGTCAGCTCTGGAGTCTGATGTTGTCATGAATAATAAGAAACTCGCCATGGTCAAGAATTCGCTCGCTAAGGAGAAGGGCGCCCGGGCGGAACTTGTGGGTGATTTGAAAGAGGAGCGCTCCAAGAGGAGAGATGTCGCTGCAGAGCTGGAACTTCTCAAGGAATCGTCAAAAGCGAAGGTTGCGCCAGCGGGAAAGCGGCTGAACTTGGCCAACCAGAAGATGATTGACCTCGAGGATGGGATCAAGGCTGCTAGGAGGGTGGCTGCTGATGCTGAGTCGAAGCTCGATGATGCCCAAGCCGAGATTATTTATCGCGACCGTCGCCTGGCGGCGGAGACGGACAGATATCAAAAGAAACAGGCCGAACTTGAGGAGGCTGAGAGGCGGGAGGAGGACTACGACCCTGAGCACCTCTACAAACAGCTCGAAGAGGAGAAAGCAAACCATGCCGCGAGCGTCTCCCGTCTCGAGGATGAAGTTGCTGATTGCGACAAGGAGTTGGCGGAGGAGAAGGCAAATCATGCCGCCAGCATCGTCCGTTTCGAAGCTGAAGTTGCCGAACGTGATAACGAGTTAGCTGAGGAGAAGGCAAGGCATGAGCAAACAATTGGCAGCTTGGAGGCTGAGAAAGCTAGCCACATGGTTCCAAAGGGGAAGCTCTCGAGGGAGATAGCAAACCATACGGCGACGGCCGATGCACTCACAGTTGAGCGGACCCAGCACCAGACAACGGCGAAGTTGCTTGCGACCGAGCAGTCGAACCACCAGAGTACAAGCAAAGCCCTCGCGACCGAGCAGGCAAACCACCGGAACACCATTAACGCCCTCACGACGGAGCGGTCGAACCACCAGAACACAAGAACCGCCCTTGCTACGGAGCAGACGAACCACAGGAACACGATCAATGCCCTCGCGACTGAGAAGATGAACCACAAGGCGACCGCAGATGCCTTAGCCGCCCGGCGGAACGCCCACCAGCAGACGATGAACTTCTTGGCATCGGAGCAGGCAAATCATCGTAATACAGCCAACTCGCTCTCGTCGGTGAAGTCACAGCTTAAAACGGCCAACAACACCATCACTTCAATGCGCGTCTCGGGTTCACACGAGAAATGTGTTGTCATGAGCGGGTGGAAAGGCTCATGGAGCGTTACGGGAGACTCTTTGACAGGTACGAGAATCCACTTCCTCGAATTGGGAAAGACGTGGTACGACTGGCCGTACCCCGAAGGCTTGACCCAGAGGGCTAGCGGCAAGTGGGTGGTCGAATGGCGCCGGGAGATATATGTCGATAGTGACTAGGTTGAGGGATGTACGTAGGTAGTTGGGTACATAGTAATGGGTGCGGTCTCTGTCTTTGGTGGTCTGGGGGGTGGCTGTGGAGCTCGATTCAGGGGTTCAGGGGTCATTCATGTAGAAGAGTGCTCAGTTGCCCTGCACTTTTTACCCTGGGTACAGATAACTCATTGGGTTTCTCTCTTCAATTCTCAGGCCTTGCGCCTGTGCAGGTAGTTTTGCCTGGCGTTCTGATTAGGGAGAGGAGAGAAGAGTTTGATATGGCTTGCGAACTCCTGCAGTGATGTTATGTTATTCTCGCGGTCGATTGATTGGACACCCTGCCTACAAAATAATTGACACAGCAACAGTAAGTTGACCTATATTATTACTATGAACCATGCCTTGAAGGATAGGTACCAGGCCTTTAAACACAATTAACAGCCCTTTAGAGATATTTAGAAGGCCTAACTAACAACTATCCTTCAGGGCATCATTTACAATATGATATGGGTTAACCTACTTGTGTATATCAACTATTTTGTGGTAAACGTGGCTACGTATAAGAGTGCTCAACTGCCTTACATTTCGCCTTGAACAAACTCATCACTTTCATCTCTTCAATGACCAGCTCACTGTACACGTGAAGATGGCGTTTGGACTTCTGATCAGGGAGAGGGGAGAAGCGTTTGACATGTAGCTTGCGAGCTCCTGCCACGAGGTCCTGTTATTCTCGCAGTTGATTGATAAAGTTGGTGGTAGGATGTCGCGGCCAGGGGAAGTGGGGCTGGCCACTGATACAAGAGATGAATTAAGAATCGATGGTCGGAGCTCTGCTGTCTTTGTTAGAAGTGTAAACTTCTTCCCAAATACTGTGTCATCGGACATTATTAGGTACCTTAGGTAGCTAGCACTGGCAGGTTTTTTTTGTTTTTTTTTGACACACCGGAGCCGATTCGTGGCTTTTTTAGGTGGTGCCGTGCGGTGGGTTGGGCGGGAGCTGTTCAATTTCGCGGGCTGGAACTCGAGCGACACGGCCGCCCTTTTTCCCCGTTTGGTTTCAAACGCCACGCGACAACTTCCGACTGCTTTCTTTTGCAACACACCGACTGTGATGCAACGCAACGAACCCCCTCGAATAAATAACGACGAGAATTGATTGCAAATATTGCCGAAACAACAGAACAGTACAGAGAGAAACAAATACAGAAGGCAGCAAGATGGCAGCCAACGCCATGTGGGAGGTTGATCCCGAGACGAGGAGCAAGGTTCGTTTCTTACCGTCCTCCTCCCACCCCAACCACCGTTAGATGCTGATGATGGTGTACCGTAATAGCTCGTCACGATCCAATCCGAACCCGGCAACTCCCTCTGCTGCGACTGCGGCGCCCCGTCTCCCCAATGGGCATCCCCCAAGTTTGGAATCTTTATTTGCTTGTCTTGCGCCGGAGTTCACCGCGGACTGGGTGTTCACATCTCTTTTGTGCGATCAATCAGCATGGACGCGTTCAAGCAAGCCGAAATCGAGAGGATGAGACTGGGAGGGAACGAGAACTGGAAGAAGTTCTTTGAGGAGCACGAGACAAACAAGATGATGGGGGTGAGCTGGGAGGGTGCAACGATTGCGGAACGATATTCAGGGGAGGTGGGTGAAGAGTGGAAGGAGAGGTTGAGCTGTAAAGTTGAGGGGAGGGAGTATGTTCCCGGGCAGAAGAAGGAGACACCGGTGGCCAAGAGCTCACCGGCGCCGGCGCCGCGGCGGCACCGTTGGGAGGGAGTAGGACGGGGAGTCCAGCGAATGCTGCGCAGGGCGGGGGGAAGATCAAGGTGGATGTGGATTACTTTGCTAAGCTGGGGGAGAGGAATGCGGGTAGGTCGGCAGATTTGCCGCCGAGTCAGGGGGGGAAGTATCAAGGGTTTGGCAGCTCGGGGACGTCGATGCCGCAGAGGAGTAATCAGCAGCAGGCCGGGTTGCCGGGGCTGGATGATTTGCAGAAGGATCCGGTGGCGGCGTTGAGTAAGGGGTTTGGGTGGTTTACGAGCTCGGTTGCGAAGACGGCGAAGACGGTGAATGAGGGGTTTATTCAGCCTACTGCTAAGCAGGTATGTTTTACGGTTGATATCTTAGGGTTCTAGGTGCTGATATCACGATGGTAGATTGCCGAGTCAGATTTTGCCGCGCAAGCTCGTGTTGCTGCTGCCAATGCGGCCAAGGCTGCTCAGGCTGGCACAAAGACTGCTTCTGAAGGGTTCACAAGATTTGTGGAGGGACCTTCAGGTAGTGGGTATAAGCCTGTGAGGAGCGAGAACTTTGATGAGAGCAAGAGGGCGTTCTGGGATGATTTCGCATCGGCGGCGGACAACAGGAAGACGAGCGGGAACTCCATTGGGACTTCGGCGCTGGGTGGGAACAAGCCTTCTTCCTCCGCGCCTCCGAAGCAGAATAATAAGGACGAGTGGGAGGATTGGTAGTTTTGAGGTCAGGGTTACGTACGGGTGGTGGTTTTGATTGGAGAGCCTGTTTGGTTTTTTGTTTTCTTCGAACATTAGACGTTTGTTGCTGGGCGATATACAGTCGGTCCTTGATACCTATCTAGCTTGGTCTTTTTTTGCTTGTTCATTCTGTTGTTTTGATGTGGTGTTGTTGCTGATGAGGTCTGGATAATGAAAAGCATGCATGTGCTTCAGGGTTAGGGGTGACTCTAGAGAAGCCCCCGCCGCTTGGCCGAGGTTCAACCCGGACCCGGCACTAGCCGGGATGGACCAAGGAACCACTGAGCGTCATTGCATGCGGCGCTCAAAGCTTCCCTCTCCCTCCGTCCTGTTCGAGATCCCACGAACCCGCCCATTGAGCCGCAAGACTTCGACATGTCAGCCTTACGGATATTGGTGCCCGTCAAGCGGGTCATTGACTATGCGGTATGTAACTTCATCCTAGCTTTGAGGCAGCTTGCGTGCAGCATGCACAGGGAGAAAGGCACATGTCAAACTGCAAGCGCGGACTTTGGGCGGGACGGAGTAAGATGGTATTTGGGCATGACAGTTGCTAATGCACGCAACGCCTTATTGCAGGTCAAGCCCCGCGTCAACAAGGCCCAGACGGGCGTCGAGACGGCCGGCGTCAAGCACAGCATGAACCCCTTCGACGAACTCTCGGTCGAGGAAAGTGTGCGCATCCGCGAGAAGAAGCGCGCCCCGGGTGGTGTGGAGGATATCTGCGTCATCAGCGCCGGGCCGACCAAGGCTCAGGATATCCTGCGCACTGCTATGGCTATGGGCGCCGACCGCGGCATTCACGTCGAGGTCAAGGAGGGCGAGGACCTTGAGCCGTTGAGCGTGGCTAAGCTGCTCAAGGCCGCTGTTGAGCAGCAGAAGAGCAACTTGGTTTTCTTGGGCAAGCAGAGTATTGATGACGATGCCAACCAGACGGGGCAGATGCTGGCTGGCTTGCTGGGCTGGCCTCAGGCTACGCAGGCTAGCGAGGTTACGTTTGGGGAGGGGGACACGGTGACGGTTACGAAGGAGGTGGATGGTGGTGTCGAGACTGTCAAGGCGAAGCTGCCGATGATTATCACGACGGACTTGCGGTTGAATGAGCCGAGGTATGCGAGCTTGCCGAATATCATGAAGGCGAAGAAGAAGCCTTTGGAGAAGAAGACGCTGGCGGACTTTGGGATTACGGGGGAGAAGAGGCTCAAGACGTTGAAGGTTACTGGTGAGTTTTGGATGAGTCAGGGGTTGTTGTGGAATAACTTGATTGCTAACGCTGGTTGCAGAGCCACCCCCGAGAAAGGGCGGCGGCAAGGTCGAGGATGTCGATGGTTTGATCTCCAAGCTCAAGGAGCTAGGTGCTCTCTAAGACAATGTACACAACAATGTATTGCTAGTGTTTGCCTGCATCTAGAGTTGACAGCTTTGCAATTTTGCCTGCGCAACGACAATCTTGTTACATTATCTTTGAGCATCATTGGAAATATTGACAAGTATCCAAGTCTGTGGTCATGATCGCATCATCCCGACGAAATACAGCGCCTCCTTCAATATACAGATCTTGTGATCTGCCACAACATGGTCCATTTTCGGCCGTGTCATCGAGATAGGACCAGAGATAAGAGTTGTGGGATGAAAGCGGCACCACCCCGCAATTGTGTCCCCTGTGACGTAGGTCGACTTCGTCTGTATCTTCAAACTATGACAATTGACAACCCATTTTGCGAGTTTAAACTTTGGTCTGAAAGGGGTTTCGGATTTTCGGTCTGAGTCCTTTCGGCTGAAGTGATGGTGAAGACCCTGCATCTCAGAGGAATTGGCAGTCCGAAGCCACAACAAAGTGCTGGAATGGCCCGCTAGGACAAAACAAGCCTCTGAAAATGGCCCAGATGCCCCACCCCGTGAATCGGCTCCCGACAGTTCAGGAGCTCCGGAAGTCGCGGCGGGGTGGGAACAGGTGGACCAATCACCATCTCGCCAATGAGACAGTCGCAAAATTCTTTGGGGACTGAAATGACAAAAAAGATGGATTTTTCTCGCTTCCCGCCTTTTTCTTCTTCTCGATTCCAACAACTCCATCGCGAATCTGATTCACCACGCCAACGCCTTGCTCTCAGCAACCGCTTCGCTTCTCTAGTCTCTTGTAGACTACTCATCCTCTTCGAATTGTCGCCCTTACAACAGTGCTGATGAACGGCCGTTCGTCAGAGTTTACTTCTCAGGTACGCTCTCTCAATGAAACACAATCCCTTACTGTGGGCAGGGGGTATGCCGTGCTGTGCTGGCCGACCCCGCTGTCACCATCGTGGACGTCCATGCTGCCCCTCCACGCAAGAGTCCCTCAGATTCTGTTCAAGAGGCATTGGGCCGCGACAATGCCAATTGAATGCGCATTTTTTTGATTCCACCTCGAATTGCCGTGTCTGGAAGATGGAGGCTAATGCGTTTGTGTCTTAGGATTATCTCTCAGGTCCGCATCTCTCCCAGGATATGGCTTGACTCACCGCTCTGTACTGACTAGAATTCCCAGACCATCTGTGGAGAGCCCTGAACGCTTAAGACTTCAAGTCCCGCGCTGCACTAGAATCTTACCCCGTTTTATTTTTTTATACACCAACCCACACTAGCAGTCGACATGATGTTCACTCGCTTGGCCGCTCGTCTGCCCAAGACCACGTCGGCGTTCGCCGCCCCCAAGGTCTCTACCCGCTTCCTGTCCAAGGCTGCCGTGTCTGGAAGCAAGGGCAGATCTATGCCCGGCGTTGATCGCAGAGCCACTGCTGCGGCCTCGGGTGTCGAGGCTACCTTCACTATCAGAGTATGTCTAGTCTAGTTCCAGCATGGTCATGTTGTGTCTTTCAGAGGCTAACCTTCTAACATAGGATGGTCCCGTGTTCCAAGGCAAGGCCTTCGGTGCCGACACCAACATCTCTGGCGAAGCTGTCTTCACCACCTCTCTCGTGGGCTACCCCGAGTCCATGACCGACCCCTCTTACCGTGGCCAGATCTTGGTCTTCACCCAGCCCCTGATCGGCAACTACGGTGTGCCCTCGAACGAGCGCGATGAGTTCGGTCTTCTCAAGTACTTCGAGTCTCCCCATATCCAGTGCGCTGGTGTGGTTGTTGCCGATGTTGCTGAGAAGTACAGCCATTGGACTGCCGTCGAGAGCTTGGGCGAGTGGTGTGCCCGCGAGGGTGTTCCCGCCATCTCTGGCGTCGACACTCGTGCTATCGTCACCTACCTCCGCGAGCAGGGTTCCTCCCTTGCCAGAATCACCATCGGTGACGAGTACGATGCCGATGAGGACGAGGGTTTTATCGACCCTGGCCAGATCAACCTTGTCAAGCGTGTGAGCACCAAGGCTCCTTTCGTCGTTGCTAACCCCAACGCCGAGTTCCACGTTGCTCTTATCGACTGCGGTGTGAAGGAGAACATTCTCCGCAGCTTGGTCAGCCGCGGTGCTTCCGTCACCGTTTTCCCCTACGACTACCCCATCCACAAGGTTGCCGACAACTTCGACGGTATCTTCATCTCCAACGGCCCCGGTGACCCGACCCATTGCCAGGAGACTGTCTACAACCTTGCCCGCCTGATGGAGACCTCCCCCGTTCCCATCATGGGTATTTGCCTTGGCCACCAGCTTTTGGCTCTTGCCGTTGGTGCCCAGACCATCAAGCTCAAGTATGGTAACCGTGCCCACAACATTCCGGCGCTCGACTTGACCACCGGTCAATGCCACATTACCAGCCAGAACCACGGTTATGCCGTCGACACCAGCACCCTGCCCAGCGACTTCAAGGAGTACTTTGTCAACCTCAACGACGGCTCCAACGAGGGTATGATGCACAAGACCCGCCCCATCTTTTCGACCCAGTTCCACCCCGAGGCCAAGGGTGGCCCGATGGATTCCTCGTACCTGTTCGACAAGTACCTCGAGAACGTCAGGATGTACAAGAGCAGCGCCTCGGTCTACCGTGACAACAGGCCATCTCAGCTCATGATTGACATTCTCAGCAAGGAGCGTGTCGGTGTTGAGCCCACCAAGTTGGCCAACGCTGCCTAAACTTTTCTTGGTTATTGGGTTGGGTTTTGGGTTCTGGGGGTTATAAGCGTCTTTGATTTTTTTCTCTGGCGGGTTCATGGGCAACAAAAATTGTTTTTTGTTTGGTAGTGCTTTTATTGTGCCTAGCGGTATCCACGGCTGCAAGTCAGTTTTGCATTCATTTTACTTTTATAGTGATGCAATGTATCTTTTTTTTGGATAATTCCATCTTTGTATGCTCAAGCTGAATGTGTCTGTGTTGTTGAACAAAAAGGGATTGGTGTTGACTGTGCCCCTGTCCCCTTTGATTCAGAACTCAAAACCGACTTCCATCACCTATTGTCTTCTTGTCATGAAGGGTGCTGTTGAGACCCATGACATTCGTTGATCATAGGAAGACACTCAAATCTTGTCCCACACCTAATGACTTGCGAACACAGACAGAGCCTTCACATGCAAGCGGTGTTTTGAATCCGTATACCTAACCATCACTTCGTGTCTGCATACTTTGAACATCATTGGTATCTTTCATTCCCCAGCCCTTTCCCCACCACTCAACTCAACTACAATCCATCTCTACCAGGTAACTCAAAAACAAATACAAACTTGATTGCAAAAAAACAACCAACCCATCTCCCTTGCCCTTCATCCCAACCAGAAAAAAAAGGCTTCATCCCATATATTTTCCCCTTCCCCTAGAAGACAAAAAAAAAAAAAAGATCGTAACCTAAATCCCAAAAATTTCGCTATCCCAATCCAGCCCAACCTTCCCGAACGCGGGTGGGGTGGTAACAGATTGTTTATGCGAGGCATGTGCTTGTCCCCGCTGGCAGTCGCCAAACGCCATACAATAAATATCCGAACTTCAAAAACCAAAACAACAAAACATCGCAAAGCCCCGGTAGGTATATCAACCCCCCCGCCCCCCCACAAACTAATGATCCCATATGTACTTATCCCCCCTTTCCTCACCCACTCCCCTCCTCCCAACTATACCTCTTATCCGCCACCTGTGGCACATGAATCAACCCATCCCGTCCCTCTATCCGCTCCATGCTCTGCGGACTATTCGGCATGTCATTGTCATCATCCTCCTCTTGCTCCCCCCCTCTCCCTCCCCTCGGCGGCGGCGGCGGCTGCGGCTGCAACAGACTTATCCTCTGAGGCACCTGTCCCAATCTCCTTCTCTGCTGCTGCTCCCCTTGTGTTGGTTGTATCGTATTCCCCCCCCTCCCCAAAATCATCTCCCCCGCCTCCTCCTCGGTAAAATTACTCCCCAACGTCTCACTACTCCCATTATTCTCAGAGCGATAATGCCCTCCCCCTAACCTCCCCGGCGGAAGCGGCAAAGGAGAAGTCGGCGACACAGGCGACACCCCTCCATCGACCGGCTGCCCGTTCGAGTCAAAAACTCTAGTAGTCGGCGTCGGTGGTTGGGGTGGACGTTGAGTAGGCAGCTCGATATGTTCCGGCAACGGTCCCAAACAGACAATCTGGGAGTTGTTAATCGGTGTTCTTTGAAACGACGGCGGCGGTAACCTCACTGACGATGTCAGCGATGTGGGCGATACCCCATCATTCGAATCCGACCGACTCATCGACACCGACGAAGGGGCAAACGTCTGAGCCGAGGTCGGGGAAACAGGTGAATAACTCGAGCCAGCAGGGTCCGAAGTCCTGTTGTGGTGGTGGTGGTGTTGCTGGGAAGGGGGATATAAATGCAACGGCGGCGGAGCAACCGTCATAGGAGAAGGCAAATCAAACATCCTCCCCGCCCAGTCCCCATGCGGCGTCATCGGTGACGGCAACGAATTCGGAAACGAGTCGCTATTCGCATACGTCGGCGACGACGCCGGCGAGGGCGTATCTGGCGGTCGGTAATGAGCAACTCGGCTCATGTCCTGCATGGACTTTTCTTGCTGCATCACCCCCGTCGGTATCGTCATGTGCGTTGTTGACGTGGGTGTATAAGTCGGCACCGGCCCCCTCATCTGCCTTTCCAGTTTCCGCTGAGTGAGCTCATATTCGCTCATTCCCTGGGCACTATCTACCCCAACGTCGGTCTCGTCATCCCCAAGATCATGGCTGTCCAGCTCAACCGGTTCTGGCGGTACAGGCATTTCGTACACCTGGTTTTCTCCGTCTGCCCCAACCTCGACGGGTTGGGTGCTGTTGTTGTGCACTTCGTGAATTTCTGGTTTCCTTGATCTCTTCCTCCTGATGATCAACGAAAACACCTTCTTGACTGGACTCTGTGGCTCCTCCTCTTCTGTGACGTGAGCCTCGCGTTTGTCCTCGTCTGTCTCGGAATTTTGAGAGTTTTGCTTTGACTTTTTCCGACGGCAGCAAAACCATATCAGACCCCCCAAAATACTTCCTGTGATGAAGGCGCTGAACACGATACCAACTGTCTGGCCAGTCCCCAGTCTGTTATTCGTCCCAGTCGGCACAGGCGCGCTTGTGAATTCCGGGTACGGGCTATCCGGTGGCCTTGCGATGGCTTCAAGTGAGTAATTGCTCGAGGCCGCCTCGGGAAACAACGCCTGGTGAAGCGAGAACATGCTCTTATCGTAAGTAGTAATGATGTATGCCTCCTGCATAAACGCCCGACCAATGATATAGGTATTATTGTTGACCTCGGTAGTCGAACGCTTCAGCGGGAAATACGGGATGCTCGATTCGCCCCATTGAATGACGTTTCTGAAAGGGTAACGTAATAACTGCGCAAACGCCGCCGACGGAATCGTGATGTTGACCACGCCCGGAACATTAAACGGTTGCCCAAAGTTGTCGGTGTTGTCAAAGCTCGAAAGGGTGAAGGTGAAGGACAAAGACTCGTCGTTTTGAAAGCGCGTGTACTGTTCCCCTCCGCCTGCAAAAGTGTACAACCCGAGATCCTCCCTCCATGTTAGATTGAGAGCATCAGCAAAACGGTCGCATACTTCGGTCGGCAGCCACAGGTACGGTGTGGAAGAGTCGATGAAAGCCTCGATGGAATCATCCATATTGACCAACGTCCGACTTGTTGATGTCCAATTAGCAGCCGGGGCCTTGTCCTCGTCTGTGATTTGCGCCGTCACACCACGCAGGCGAACAAGAGGAAGTCGCGTGATCGGATCGAGGGCAAAGTTGTTGCCGTGAGGGACGAATCGAAGCCTATCGTACCCCCCCAGAACCAGAGAGGCAACTGTGCCACTGCCCTTCTTGCCATCTTGAATAGTGTTAGTACGTGTTGGTGATATCTTTTCCGCACATGACAACTTACTCTCTCGGTAGTAGGCGCCGGCGGTGTACCCATAACTATGACTGGGAATAGCGCCATACACCTGGGCAAGCTGAGGGATAAAAGGAGTCGAGACATTGGAGCCGAACTTCCCAGGCGTGACACCAAGCCCAATAAAGCCGCTGTAATACTGCGTGTCGTTGATGGCGGCCACCAATGTGTTCTCGAGGAGCGTCGACACCGAAGTCAGCGTGTTGACGAACCCCAAGGTTTCCAACCCATAATCACCATTCCCCCCCATTCCCGTGTGGTTCATGCCCAGCTTCCAAGCCCCCAATGGCTGCCATGATTCCGACAGCGAGGAGTTGAAGACACCACCCCGAGCATTGATGCAGATTTGAACCGGATGACAGCCACCGCTAGATATCGTCCAGATTTCCGACAAGGCCGTCGATGGCGTGAGGTAGACAATCTCGGCGGGCGAGCCTATCACAAACATAAAATTGGACCATGTACCGTCGATACCATACCTGCCAGCAGTGTCAGCAGTGACTACCTAACGCAGAGGGGAGTCATGACACAAACCATTCTCCAGAAGGCTGGATCCAGAGAGGAGCAGCCGGTGGCTTGGTGGCAGCGGCATCGTCAGCAGCAGCAGCAGCGAGTCGTGACGCGGACAGCAGCAGCAAGATGTCACAGATGACAGCGGTCGAACGACAGGGCAACCGCATTGTAGCAGCACCCTACCCTGACCCGATCTGACGGCGCTGGGAAGGGGTGCGCGCGCGGGCAACGACGGTCTGTCACGAGAGCAGCGGTCCTAGGACATTTGCGACGTCTTCTTGTTGTGCCATGGACTACAGGCCGTTGTTAGTCTTTTTTGGCAGGCCCGGGCAGGTGAGGATTGGAAGAAGGCAGTGAGTAATGGGTAAGGTAGGTGGGTGGATAGATGGATGGATAGGCTCAGCCGTCGGTAGACAAGGCAAGGCAAAGGCAGGTTTCACTCAGGGCCTGGGGTAGGGGGCCAACAAGGGGGGAGCAAGACGAGAGGGAGAGTGGAGGATAAGGGAACACACACCCGGTATGCGGGCGCACCGTGTCTGCGTCTCTGCGTCTCTTCTGCGTCTGGCGGGACGAATGATGAGACGGCGGGAAATAGGGAATGCCAGTCGGAAAACAAGAGGCCAGCGATCAGCACTGCAGTCGACCCGGCTATGGGGGTCCAACGTGGCCCAGGCCTGTGAGTAGGTTTGAGATAGGTGTTGACGGAGAAAGCGAGAGCGGGTGGAATTGGCAGCATTGGAATGCCCTGAGGTGGTGGTCCTCCCTTCCTTCCTTGGGTGACATTCTCACCCAGTCCATCATTCTGAAAAGTTCCGTCAGGACAAAACGAAACCCCCCCGCCTTTCCGAAAGACGGTACACCTAGGACAGCGAAGCGACAGGGGACTGCTAAAAGCGCTGAGAATGCTTAGAATCCTCTAATCCTCTATCAACAACGCATGCACCCGTCCGTTTGTTCCTCCGAAGTCCCGCACCTAGCCCGGCACTTTTGCTGTGGGAAAGCCGTCAGTTAATTGCCCAGCGAAATGATGTCCTCAGCCATGTCTGAGAATCGCGAACCCCGGCACGTGGCTGCGACCGCCGTCAGATCTCCAGGTGGCTGATCTGATCTCGACGACGTCCTTTTTTCACTCCTTGACAGGGTTCGTCTGATGTGCATGAAATCGTTCTTTCTGTGCCCCCGCCCTGCTCTAGAAACCTCCCCAGCCGAAGCCCCAGATCAGCCACTCACAACCGCCAGACTCGCACACCACCGGCCAGCCCGCCCAGAATCCATGATCGATATCGTCACCGCGCCGCTCACGGAGTGTGGGGAAACAACGGGTGGAAAAACATGGCAGACCTGGAATCCCAATCTTAGCCTCACCTCGGTGGAGCTCTCCAACGAACGCTGGAGCGAGCGCGCCGTTTTTACTGACTAGCAGGCATCAGGGCACTTGATAAAATGCTCTAGCATCGGACTTCAATTTCTCATCCTTTACGAAGAAGAGAGCATCGTGATACCATTCTGCAAGTCTCACACGAGAAGAACTCTGTACTCTGTACAACAGCCATTGCCACCACCACCGCCGCCGCCGCCGCCGCCGGGATCGAGATAGGGACCTCGCTTGTGAATCTTGGGAATCGCAAGTGCCGGACAGTAGCTCGCCTTGGTTTCGGACCCTCACGATTGGGAATTCCTTACTTCAACAGCGAAACAGGCAGCCAAGCTTGAGCTAAAAAAGCAACCGATCAACTCATGCGTTTCGAGCTAGGCCTATCTTTTATGGACGTGAGGCCCCGGTTCCCAAACTCACTCTCAAGGTTCCACTGGCGGTTATCGACGACACACCTCAACCTCCCACACGGGCTACAGCGACAAGCAATGGCTGTTATATTGGTCAAATATCGGTGGCAATGAAGCCCTCCATCCTCACGGACCTCAGTGCCGCTGTTTGGCTGGCATGAGAGAGAGGAACCGAGGATGCATCAAACACGGCAGAGGCAATCTATTTCACCACTTACAGAAGGGGAGGGGTCACTCTGGCTAAATTCGATACCACCTATTTTACCGAGCCACCTCGCAACCAAACCTTTCCATTTAGGCCACCAGAGAGTCCGGACCATCCACACCGGCCCAGCACATGACGCCTTCTGTTGATTGCTCTCTGCCCACCGCACCGACCACCCAAGACGGCGGCAAAACAATCTCGACATTTGTTGGCGTGGTGCCGGCTCTAGAGGACGGCAAAAGCCTGCACGACCTGCCCATCGCGGACTCCGTCAGGCCTGAAGAAGCAGGTTGTCGATGAAGCCGTCACCACCTCGACCTGCGGTGCGTTTTCAGTTACTGGTGCCCAAACAGGAAGGCGTTTCGTCTTCTCTGGCGTTCAGCCATGCATGCGGCTCACCTCCGGCAGTCACTCGTCATGAACTGCTGGTCAGAAATGCTGTCGAGCTTCGTCATTCCAGACACCAAGCTCTCACACATCCAAGAAATCTCTGAAACTCTCTCAGCTCAGCTGCTGACTTTGTTATGCATCGGTCGTTTTTCTACTCTCGCTTGCCCGTGCAGCTCATTGGCTACGAGACGGTCTGCTACCCATTGTAACGTGAGTCGCAAAGGACTGACGGGAATGGGGGAACCGTTTTACGTTTTACGCGGTATGGCATTTTTTTGATGTTACTCGGTACCATGGGTCCAAAACCCCCGTTAAACAAACAACCGAGATAACTGGCGGCTCGAGGCCTCAGACAGGATCCTCTCATTCCAAACACGGTCAGCATTTTGTTGAGACAACTCTGACTGGTTGTACCCTCGCAGATTCAAGACATATGATTGTATGTAGCTCACAACCCAAAACAGACAGGGCGGGCACAAGCCTCAGCGGAGTTGCGGGAGTCTAGCAGACGCCACAATTCCTCTTGCCAGATATCGAGATGCATATCCCGATTCCCCCTGTCGGCTGACTGGCAGCTTTTCTCGCCGTCTTCTGGCCCCGTGTGTCGAAAGGTCTGTCAATTGCCGAGCTCAGCCAAGAAAGCCAAGGAGGCCACCGTGGACCCTAGTCAGGCTTCTCCAGATGTCGATCGGCTTTGCACACGTTATCATCCCCACCAGCTCAGCGCTACGGAGGAAGGCCCCGAAGGAGAGCATGAACATGATAAGATTGTACCCCACTTCTTGATGTTTCTGTCACAGGGTGTTGTCAACATCAAACGATACCAAGTTCTATGGGAGAGATAATGATGGAACGCAGAAGAAAAAGCGGGCATATCTAGCTGCCCGGCCGCCTCTTGCCTATCGTTGCAGCTGTGGGATCGAGGGTGGGCGGACCGAAATGCCCCCTCTGAACCAAAAACCGCGTCTTTTGTGGTTGCAGCAGCGCCATACAGCTGGCTATGAGAGGGTGAGGGGGGGGTGGAAGGGGGGGAACACAGAGGGCGCAGGTACGGGAATAACGCAGGCTGCCAGCACGACCAGCGCCAGAGGGCTGCGGAGGGAGTAGAGTCTGGTACTGCCTCCCCAATGTGGTGCTCGGCAGGTCTGGGCAGGGTGGACTTCGATTCCATCGTTCGGTTACACTGATTTCGGGCTGTAGCTGACATTAAACGAGTCGCCGACCTGGGAGGTTGCCATCCAACTGAGCCAGTAGTATGCGCATCCTTTATTAACTTGCCCTTCCGGCCCAGCCCGAGCCAGCCATCGTCCCTCTCGTTTTTCCCCGACTCAACCACGAACATGTTGCTGCATAATAGATAGCCACCACGCGGAGAGCCTTCCGTTCGGGGGGTGAGAGGGAGGGCTGTTTTGGGAAACTGTGATGGGACGTGGTCGTCGATGGCGACGTTGTGAGATGTTGGACCAGAGGACAGAAACAGACAAGGCTCGGAACATTTTCTTTTGTTTTCAAGAGCCAAGCATTTTTACCTTATCGAACGTCTTTTCACTTGAATCAAAACGGTCAGCGCTGGGCCCAAGTCGGTCCAGCCTCTTCTCCTCCCGCGCTCCCGTGTCAACCGGTAGCTGGCAGGTCTGGGGCCAAGAAACTGGCCAATCGTGGATCTTGACCCGATTCACTCAAGTCCCGTCCCCTCGGAGTGGGCTGGCATGGCTGGCCGAGCAGGGGGGAGAAAATACCCTTGTCCCTCCATCGGGTGCTTCGTTGCCCCTTGCTTGTCCATCGGCCCTTGGCAAGCATTTTCACCCCCGGATCTCTCTCTCTCTCTCTCTTCCTGCTTGCCCAGCCTTGACCCTCTTGCTCGTCGTGGCTGGCCCGGCAGCTTTCCAAATGATCGTCCCACAGTGTTGTTATTAGGCTCAAACCTAGCGTTGTGGAAAACGGAGCGTGTGTGAGGAGGAAAAGACCTTTCAATCAATCTTGGATCTTGTGGCATGCCGGGAAGCGATTTACACAGCAATCATTTTGATGCGCGGTGGACAGACGCCGGGTGGTTGTGTTGTCTCAGGGCTTGGATAATACCCGTCCGACTCCCGAATCCCTTGCAGGACGTTGTGTTTTGTGTTCGATATCCACCCCAGTTCCCGTGGCCTTTTTCCAACATATCTCGAACAGTGCTGCTTTCTATTCCCCCCTTCGAGGCTCCATGGTTTCAGTGCCCTGATGTCAGTATACCGATACCGCGGCTGAGGTGCATGGATGAGGTGGACAGGACCCTACATCATCATCACTCAACGATAGATTGGTCCTCGTGGCAAACTGTGAAGCTTTTTTCCCTCAGCATACGACCCTCCACGATATAGCAGCATGGTTGGGGGTAGGCGGTTGCTGCTTTCGATCGCGGCGCTCTCTGGCGCTGGCCTCAACAATGGAGTTGAAGGTGAGTTGACGCTCTCATCATGGGTGGTGAGCCTTTTGTTCTAATGGAAGACGAACAGCTCGGTTCAGGAGGCAAGATGGAGCAGGTGTCGATGTCGTCCAGAACGCCACAACACCAATATCAGAACCAACAACACCAGTCATCGCATCAACTCCTGATCCACCACCCACACCAATAGACTTGCCTGGCACACCTACTACCTTCACAACCACCAAGAAAGTGCCGCCAATAGGGCCGCCTCGACCTGGGGTATCGGCTGCGGGCATTATCGAGCTTGATGAGACCATCGGGGTGGACGATGAGGAGGAAGTTACTGTACTTGGCGGGGGTCTTTTGAGGCTGACTGCCGCATCGAACGCGCAGCCTACACCAGCAGAGGAGGAGTATGTGTATCCGGGGGAATACGGCTCAGGTGGGACGCTGACGACCGACACCAACGCCTTCACACGGACTGTGCTCCCGACCAGGATATCAGTTGTGCCGAATTTGGGGACCGTCAGAGGTCCGCCGCCAGTCGAAACGACAACATCGATTATATCTCCTCCGATCAGGACGCCACCAACAAGGCCACCTGCCATCCCAGCCCCGGTCGCGGCCCCGCAAGATGGGGTTCAGAATATTGATCTGGGCGATCCCATGCAAGAGACGCCAGCACCAGAAGAGCAGGAGCCGGAGCCAGAACCGGAACCGGCGCCCGCACCAGCACCCGTGATACCAGGTATTCCGGGAGGTGGCCGTCCTGCCGGTCCTCCAGTAAGGACGTCAAAAAGTGTAGTAACGGCAATCGTCACGGAAATCGACCTGGGGCATGGTAATCCCGCTACCACGACATCTACATCGACGTGGAACGGGTACTCCAACTCGACCTTTGTGACGTCGGTGCTGTACCCCAACCAAACTACACCACATATCTCTACGCCCACAGCCACTCTTAGCTTTTGCCAACCTTCAGACTTGACTATTCCCCCTACGGTATGGTCGATTGTCTACACAAGCACGCTGACTTGGTTTGGCAACCCTGAGGATTACACGCCTGAGTATCCCCCCATCTCGACCCCGCCGGTTTCATCGTGTGTCCCGTCACCACCCAGGTTGACCGTCTCGCGATGCTCGTCTACAAGCACCGGAGAGGAGAACACACCTTGTTTTGTGACGGTCACAGCGTCCACGTCTTATCCCTGGGGCTATGGACCACAGACAAGCACTGTGCCCAACACTGTCACTTTTGTCACGACGGATAAGAACCCGGCTGTGATTTACACCTCCATGAAGCCACCTAATTATGGTGTTACCCAACCGCCACGGACTCAAGCTCATCATGAGTCCCTCACGGAAGATGGCGCTGCTTCTCCCATCTCGACGCCGTCGTACGGCTCTGAGCCCAATAATCCTGGCCCTAACAACCCGAGCAATCCGAACAACCCAAGCAATCCTAACAACAGCCCGAGCAGTCCAAACAACCCCAGCAATCCCTCCAACCCAAACAACCCAAACAACCCAAACAACCCAAACAGACCCCAACCCATCGAAGAGTCCCGCTCAGCAACCATAACCCGCTCCCCGGTAACAGTAATAATTCAACCAACCGCCATCGTCATAAACGACAACACAATCAAAGACAACACGACGAAAAAAACCCAAGTCGTCATCGTCTCGGGCGAGACCTTTACGATCGACCCAACAAGGGTGGTAGGCGCAGACACAACCATCGACCGCGTCACGGCCACAGGAGGAGGGGTGTACTACCCCCCCACGCCCACCACGACCTCCTTACGTGGCGTAGAAGTAATCCTGACCTCGTCCCGGGTGATAATCGGTGGATCAACTTACACCTTCTCCCCCACCTCCACCATCGCCGTAGTCAACGACGAGACATTCACCATCGGCCCCACGGCGATCGCTGCCGGGTCACAAACCCTCAACCTCCCTGCTGCTCCTGTTCCGACAGAGGTCGTGGTGGTGGGAGGGGAGCTGATTACTGCCATTGGCCCCACCTTGGCCGTCATCTCTGGGAGTACGATAACTTATGGTAGCACCGTCTCGACGACGACTATAGGGGGTGATGTCATTACTTTTGGTCCTGGGGGTGTGACGGCGCATGGGACGATCACGCTTGGGGGGAGTGCCGCAAGGCCGGGGGAGACGCAGTATGTCGTTGCTGGGGGCGCGACTATCACCAAGATTGGGGCGAGCGTGGTGGTGGTGAAGCAGACCACGTATACTATCGGGCCGGCGGCGGCGGGGGGGATGGGGGATAGGACGGTTACCACTACTGTTGGGGGGGAGGTGATCACCATTGGGCCGGAGGGGGTTGTGGTCGGC